TGCTAGTCATTCATAAATCTAAATGTATACAAATATAATCTAGCGTAGTTAAAGAGCAAAATCTACAGCTAGATTTCATTTTCTTAGATTCTACAGTGGCACTAAGTCTGCTACTACTAAATGAAAACCCTGGGACACCTACATTGATGTGAGTTTGTAGCACATCTTGAAATCACAGTTATAATAATGCCTTTCAGCAAGAGACACGACGACATCCAAGTTGTCCTGAAGACCATTGACCATCTCTGGCACCACTAAATCACTGGGCTTGTTATACTGCAGAGGAAAGCAGAGAGAGCATGTGTCAAATTCATGTCTGTGAAAGCACATAGCAAGGTTAAAATGTGAGATGGTGTGAAAACAGACAAAACCATCACACAGCAACAACAGACAACAGTCACTCTACACACTCATGCTTATAATAACTGCATAGAGATCATTTTTCTATAATTTGTTATCAGCAATGGCAAACCAGTGAGCTGATATCACAAAAAATATCCTTAATCATAAATTCACTGTTAGCGTTGGGCCTTTGGTTGCAATCCTTGAAAAGAGGGGGAAAAAATACCCCCAACTTTATAAATTCACAGTTAAAATCCAGTTGTTAAACTAAATGCATAACCCCTTACCTTCTTTAATTTATTCTCAAAAAGGAAGTGTAACAGCTCCTCTTCCTCCTCAGTACACTGTTGACTCAGAGGAAGGGAGTCGAGGAACTCCTTCTCTGTTGAAAGATGAAAACGTACAGCGTTGTTATAAACTACTGGAATTATTATGGCATTAATGTGCACAAAATGGAATTCTTAGTGCACACGCTGGCCACAGAGTCTCACCTTCCTGTGCAGTCAACATGTGGTGGGACGTTAAAAGGTCAAAGGCTTCAAAGCAGTACACATCCAGTTTCAAGGCCTCTTTGTAGCTGGAGGTGGCCAGTGGTCTGTTATCCATGGCATCATAGATCTTACCCCGCAGGAGGCAGATGGAGCTGCTGATCTGAAATATTTCATTGGGAGCAAAGATGAATAGAAAGAAAGGTTGAGTCTATGACACTGGACATAAATTCATAGAGTGTTAATACTCCATACACAACAACACTGGACAGCATTTTGAGATCATTCTCACATCCTGAAGGAAAGAACAATTTATGCTATTTCTCTACAAACAGAATTTGTGTGGATTGCACAGGGACATAACTCACTGGTACAAAGGATCCTTCATGCCTCAATACGTGTTTGAAGACCTTGATCATTCTTAATTTGTTTGAAGTGTGGGTGCTTATTGAGGAACTTGAGCATAGGTAACTGGTTTTTAAAATAGATTATAGAATTCACTAATCTCAAGTCCAAAGGAGGAGAGTTACAGAGTCTGGGGGACATTGTTTGTGCTAAAATGTTTCAACCCTTCCCGAACGCTTCTTTCACTGCACATGAAAATGGTTTTCGCTAAAGGTGGAAACAGAAAATGTGGTTCACAAAAGGTACAAATATACTATTAAGTATAACCTAGCTGTGTAGACATAAGAGAAGATACTATCAGCTGGTGATGTGCAAACCAAAAGTGAGCAAATGACTCAACTGAGCACCGCTCGCTGCACTCACTAGTTGTACTCAATAACACAGGAAGAGCAAACGATGAATGGAAATGGAAGATGTTTACATGGTAGGAAAGAAGAGCAACCCAAGATACACCATCGCAGATAGAAAATATTTCTCAGTTTCAGTTCCTGGAGAGTTACAAGGCTCGATTATGTTTGTTAAATTAAATTGTTAAGCAGTTATTTCACTTTTACTTAAACTGGATATGAAACTCTACATGTATTAAGGTAATTTCCACCATGGAGCCCTGCTCTAATTGACTGTCACAAATCTAACACTGTCTGTGAAGCTGGAATTACAAAAAATAAGTGTTTTAAGTTAAAAGTGACTGTTTTTAGAGCATGTCTAGCACCATCTCGTCCAGTACAGACTGTGACTTCACTAGGTTGATTGCTGCTAACAGACTAAAATTAGTTCATATTAGCTAAATAGTGACAGAAACAATATCAGTGGAAAAAAAGAAAGCTAAAACTAAAAAGCAGTCTCAGGGTGTCATTTTTATATGGCCCCTGGCTGAAAGAATTAGTTTCATGTTAAAAAACCAAAGCTATACTGCCTACTGTCACTCTGTGTCTCTTAAGCATCAAATGGTTTCTCGTTGTTGGTTAGTTGTTAAATACTTTTGTAAATGATGTCTGTGCGAAGGAGAGTGTGCTTGAGTCAGGTGCTCCAGCAGTTTAACAGACTGACAAGCTGAGCTGAAGTTGACGCCGTCTCCTCTGTATTCAATTTTCCCTCGTGAGGTCATGTGAAAAGACCACGCCAGCTGGCAGAGCATGTCCAAAGGATGCAATCAGCACTATTTTATACAATAATCTAACACTCAGTTATCTCAACGTTAAGTGTCTTTTTCTAAGCATACCCAAACAGGTTACAATATAACTGGTTACTACATGTGATCAGGCCACAAACATAACACTAAGTCAGTATTGTAGAATATTGTCCGCAGCTAAAAAGTAAGGGGCTTTACGAAAATTCCTAAAGTCCTCAACAAGATCAACTATCTTCTTACTGTTATGTATGTTTGTATGCACCTCCATCTCCTCCCTAACAGGTGGGCCAATCTGAATGAAAGTTTGCAAGAACATCGTCACACATACAGCAATTAACTACACTAAGCGGTGCAAGACCAAAGCCAAGAAGATTATGAGGGATCTCTCCCATCCCAACAATGGACTCTTCTCACTGTTGAGGTCTGGGAAGCGCTTCTGCTCCCTTAAGGCCAAAACAGAGAGAATGATGAGGAGCTTCTTCCTCTTACTCTCTGTCATTACTACACATCAGTAACTGTTTATTCCACTGTATACTAGTGGTGCAACGGATCAAAAGTCTCACGGTTTGGACCGGATCATGTTTTTTTCGTCACAGATCGGATCAAGTTTCAGATCCAGCAGAAAAAAAAGAAGAAGAAAAAATTTAACTCGTCATTTACTTATTTATGTATTTTTTGCCTATTAAAAACATTCAACTCAAGACTCATTCCACGCAATTATATAAAAACAAATGAAGGTGTAATATAGGGCAGTACAGGGCTTTCTATCTACAACTCCGCTGTGATATATTGAGCGGTCAAATCATTTAAAAATATAACTCATTAAACATACACACCACATGGCAACCCAGACTTACAGAAGCAGGGGACATGTCCCAATCCTTGGTTGATTCTGATGTCTCATTGTCTTCCTTTCCACTCCTGTCCAAAAGCTTTTTGCTTGCTGGCTCTTCTGCATCTAAGATATCCAAGGCTTGCTGGAACTCTTTGGCAGCATACTAGAAAAAGCAGAAACAAATAAGAAGCATTAAAAATGACAGATCTAATCGATTATCTGCAATTTAGAAGATTGCAGAAAAGGCTATAACAACTGGCATGTTGTGCATCTTCCATTTACTTACATGACACCTTGCAGCAAGATACTGACAAGCTCCGTACAGCTGTTAAAGAGAAGACAAGAGATGTTTAAAACTTTGGTCTGACATTATGCTGCTGACTTTTTTATGACAAACAGTTTAACTCTAACACACACCACCCCCGTACTAAACACGGTTATAAAGGCAATCACCCACTTTTCAACACTCACGCAACGCACCTTGTCAAGTTTACGTGAACGGAGGGCATGGGAGGCTCTGTGGTACTGTGAGGTCAGATAAAGGCACTGAGCAAGCCAGTAAATATCCTGGGGATCTTCTGTATGTAAACAAAGTCGATAGGGTTATCAGTTTTAGAGGTTAGGAAGTTATCGCTGGCAGGTTTCACACCAATGAAGATGTGCTAGGATGCTAATCTGTTATCCGCCCAGACCGCTAGTAAAACTTTCTTTCAGCTGCAACGTAACAGGAAAACGTAACCACTTCCCATGAAGCACCACACACACCATCATTAGTTTTGCTGACAGGTTAAGTAATGCTACTCTAACAGACAGATTAGAACTACCGTAATTTGCTCACCGTGAGAGAGAGATGCTATCTTGTCGGCCCAAAATAGAGCACTCTGGTACTGTTGCTGTAAACAAACACACAAAGGCACCGCATCAGTCTCCAAAATATATGTCAAGCTGCTCACTGGCTGTTATTTGTTAAAGAGGAAAACAGCAAGAGTTCGTTACCACTGACACCAAACGTGCTAAAAAAAAAAAAAAAAAAAAAAGCTAGCGTAAGCTAGCAACACAGAAACTAATATTTTTTCCTACCTGATCGATGTATTGCCGCACTCGCTTTCTGAGTCTGTCGAGGTTCATTTTGACTTTTTAAAAGTGGACTGTCAAAAGTTCTGACTATCACAAGTGTGTCATTCTAAGAAGCAGAGGAAGCAATGCACTAAAACACTACGTGAGATCTCGCTAGCTGCGTAAAATCAAACCCGCGGCTTCTTTCTGCAATGAGTGCTCCGCTAAACCGTTCCGTAAGGAAACTACGTCGTGATAGAAAGTTCCACGTTGACGCTCCTGGCCCCCGGGCCGCCTAACCTAACAACAACAACAACAACAACAACAACAACAACAACAACAACAACAACAACAACAACAACAACAACAATAATAATATATGTTATTTCAGTGTATTTCCCCTGTTTTTATTTGTCATCACATTAACAACAGTGAAGACAGATACAACAGGAACACCTTTCATCTTACAGCAGTTAAATAAACACAATACATGCATAACAAATAGAATAAATCGGCAGAATGGTATAGGGATAAAAGAGAAATACATTTTAAACACTAATGACTAAACAAATATCTTAATAATGTAAGAAGTATTCTGAAAGTAAAAATATAATAGAATGAAGCCAGGATAAAATGAAATACAAATAAAGTAACAATATGAAAAAAGGAAAAAGAAAACTGCATTTAAAATTGCTTACCTAATCACAGAATAACAAATACTGCATTAACATTTTTCCTGTTTTTATTTTTAGGTTTATTAGGAGTCCTTGGCATTTTTAAATACATCAAAAACATGTGACTTGTCAATAGAATGACTGCTTTAATTGATTTATTTTGAATTTTAGGGTGTATCTTGTGATTTCTTTCTTTCATTCCTTTTCTCATTTGGTAGTGCATTTGTTTTAAAGGTATCTGTGTTCCTGTATCCTCTTCCTTGTTGCTCGTTTTTCTTCTTTTGCTTTGCACCACATTTCCTGCTTACCTTGCTGCTTTTTTCTTGTCCCTAGCAGTGACACATGAGATCAGGTGTTCACATTTTTATCTGATTTGTACATATAGTGTGAAACAAAAGCATATAGAGCATAGAAGTTAAGGAATGCAATGCAGCTTTAAGGAAGAAAGAAAAGGACACCTTTTGCTGATTTTCTCTGTCATGAGGATAGTGACTAATTCTTTCCATCACTTCGGTAGTTTTGAGCCAATCCTCGTGCCAAGCCCTCACATAGAAAGGTTTGCACTGGCTCAGTTTAAGCTGGATCCTTTGATTCTCTTGGGCAATTCTGAGCATTTCCAGCTGCTGATTTTTGTTCCCAGGGCTATAGTGAAGAAAAAGAAAGCACAATTAAGCCGCCTTATTTCTTTGAAAACCCTATTGTTCTGACACCGTTATTACGAAACTTAACTGACCTTTTCTTTTCATAGAAATTCCAGTTGTCGACTCTTCCAGGTGTGCTCATAATATGTGATATATTCTCTCTAAGCCTATTGTTTTCTCTCTGAATCTCCAGCATCCTCAGCAATTCAGTCTTAATTCAACAAAATGTGATTAGAAACAGTCACATTTACAGGAGGTTATTCTAACTACATGTATGTAAAAACTGTGTTTTAGTCACTCTAAAACATTGTTATTACATTGGATCACTTCAGGCTTCACAATACTTTATTCTACACTGACTGGAGGTAAAAATAATTTTGTGATTCTAATTATTCATTTAAATTTCTTATGTTTTCTCACTCAAAGGACAACCTTGTGATTCTTCTGCTTGGGAGTGAGGTGACTATATGTCTTTGGTGGTCCTGTGTTTACCACTGGATTTGCTGTCATCACCTTGGGGGAAAAAACCACATACATGTCTGTCTGAGGCGGTAAACCGTGATTATCCTGACTTTAAAACAACTGTATAAAACAAAAAGGTAGATTAGTTTGTGACAAACCCCCCCCCAAACAACCTAAGGTCAAGACATTTAGAATATGGGCAAACAGGGAAAATGATGACAAATGTTTTTTAAAAAAATGTAAAAATCAAAGACTTTTCTCTTAACTCTTTTTCTGTGCATGTCGTATGCAGCCTGGTCCAATTTCTCCTGCAGGTATTTGCTTGCAGTAGGAAACAGGGGCACTGCTAAGGGATGCAGCGACAGCTTCCTGTAAAGAGAAAACAGAAAAAAAGCTGCAAAAAACCAAGCCCTTTACACTCAGCAGAAAACAGTTTCACACATTTTAATGATACAATGAAAATGAAGAAAACTATAACAAATAAAATCCACATGGGGATTGTTTTAAAATTGCTCAAGATTATTTAAAATAGAATCAGAATCAGAATACTTTATTAATCCCTGGGGAAATTATGTGGGTTATGGTTGCTCCAGTCCAGTAACATTAAGAAAAACAAAAGCAAAAACAAAAACAGACTAAACTATTAGCAATACAATATATTAAGATACAATGAATAGCACAATATAAGGAATAGCACAATAAAAGTATGGGCAAATTATGCAAGAATAACAAGCTCTGGGATGCCCTGTCCAGATCAGGGGTGCTTCTTTTTTCTAGTACCTATAACTTGGCCATCTCCATGTCTCTTATACACCTGCTCTATGTGGCAGGTATGTGTTTCTGTTTCATGGACTGTATGTTTATTTATGAGTGCTTTAGATTAACTTATTTGTATCCAGTTCCAGCCATGTAAACGAAGTGAATCCCCCCAAAGGTTCACGGTCCCTGGAAAGTTTCTGCAGTGGAAAATAGGCTCATGCAAAGAGGACAGCTTTGCCGAATAAATAAAGCAGTAGGGCCTATGTAGAGATGGGACTTTTTTTTTCCTAAATTGTCCAGCATCTCTTAATCCAAATAAACGACGGACAGTTTGTTAACAGGGTGCATCAACAGTTGGCGCGTACGCCAATAAATCAATTAGCGTAAATACCCTCGGGCTCCCTGCCTCACCTTGCAGTCTGTGGTTGCCCTGCTTCCTTGGTTTCTTTACTCATCTTTCCGAGAGTACGCTGAACCGTCCGCGCGGACTAAAGCTCAGAAAACTGCAGTGTGTTTCGTGCCAGTCATACACGGTTGCCATGACAGCAGAGCGAGAGAGCGGAGATGAATGGTTTCAAACGATGCGCCTGTTTGGTTTGTTCCACACAGAGAAACACATACAGCCACAGAGATAGGCTAATTAGCGCGCAGACTGTGGAGCGAGTGGCTGTAAAATGAGCCGCTGTGTGAAGACGCATTTACACATAGTTCAAAGCTGAAAATGAGGAAAATGAGCTAGAACATAAACTGCTTTTATTTATTTATTTTTTAGTTTAGTTTACTTTTACAAAGTAAAACAAATAACACTTACTGTGTCTGGCTAGACATTATGTCCACTTTGATCTCTTCATCTTTTAGAGCATCAGTGGAATTAATTTAACCAAATGTAGAATGAATTTATAAGCTGTAAGGACACAGTATACAGTATCTTTTGTATTTTAAGTACATACGGTCAATAACAGTGGAAAACTTACACCAGTGCCACTTAAACTAACACTAGTGCAAACTTAGTTTATACACAAAACAAGAAATGAGGAAAAATGAGGAAAGTTAATTATTGTGAAACCTTTAACTTAAATTAGAAATACAAAGCATTACACTTCTATACTGTGGTATCACGTTGGATTATTTCAATGTGTTTATAAAGTATTATGTGTATCATCCGGGAAATAAAAGACAGAAAGAGGAAATCAGAGTTGTTGAATGAAACCTATTCTAGTGATTTGACTCTATGAATGAATATACATGCAACACTTCCCCCTACTGACAGGAACTGGCTACGACGACTTTTGACACACATGGCATTTTTACTTTTAAGCATTCAAATTTCACGCTAGAAGGAACAACAACAACAACAAAAAAGCACTGATGAAAAAATGGTCACGTCACCGTTTTTTCACACCCTTATAAGCTGTTATAAATGTTGTCATTAAGATAACAATTAGCCAGAAAAATAAACTGTAACATTCACTTCACACATATTTCAAACCTGTAAATACTCATAAGCAAACTGTTCTTCAAGTACAGGTTTAATGAGAATATTGCACAATCACAAAGCTGTCGTAGACGTTAGCAGCTGATAGTCGATCTGTCACGGCTACAGGCCTCATGTCTGGCATTTCCCCACAGATGCCCTCAGAGGTGAATTAATTGGCCCCCCTTCCATCTCCCAGCGTAGTCTTGCCTCAGTGCGTGGGAAGCACTCTCATGAATGAATTATATGCAATAAAACATTTCCAGTCCACTTTGTTATTTTGTTGTATAAGAGGAGACGTGTTGATGGGACAGATGGAGAATACCAAGATGGAAAAAAATCATGTTACATGCCTCTAGATCTCTTCCATCCTATTTTTGTTTTGTTTTTACACTTTTGTGTTTTTTTTGTTGAACAGTTAAACTGAGATATTTGTAAAATGTTTCTAGGCCTTTGAATATGTGTGATTATAGCATGGGCAAATGTCTGTGACCAATTTTGAATTGATTTGAATACTAAGCCCTTCAGGACCGATGACGTTTTGAAGGCATTCTTGTGCAGTTTATTTATGAATTTATTGAAATGTTCTGACTAAAACCCAAATTCCATTTCTCATGCAGACTGCAGGCGACATTTGGACATAAAACTCAGACCTTTCCAGGGACTGTTGCAGAAACTTTACAAATAGAGTTTCTGCTGTTTCTGCTGCACAGTGTTTAACTTTGTCCAAATAAAAATTTGACATGTTATCAAAATGCTTATAAGAACATAGAGCCTTCTACTTTCAGACTGTTGTGTACACTTTCTGCCAAAGACTTTCCCAGATTTTAATACTGTGTTTACATTCACTGGCTTGGTATGATTATATTAGCATACTAATATACTATATTGAACTATATGATTAATCAATTTGAAGAAAGCTTTCGAGTCCTAATAGGACATGGAGAAAAGGACAATGTTGTTGAGCTTTTGGTAGCTTAAACAGTGGCTTTTATGTGTAAACAGTTTTAGAAGATTTGATTTTTAGGCTGCAGTTGTCAGATTTAAGGTTGGACTTTTGGATTTGACTGGAATATTCATTTGTATTTATGAGTTGGGGTTTTTTTGCCAGAATTTTAAGTAGGTGGATCAAAAATAACTTTGATTAATTGCATTGTTTCATTTGATTAATCATTTATTAAAAAACAACCACAAAAGAACCCCAACAAAACAAAAGCAAGAGCCACTTTGAGAACATAAACTGCTGCCAAGGCAGCTCACCATCCATCCATCCATCCATCCATCCATCCATCCATCCATCCATCCATCCATCCATCCATCCATCCATCCATCCATCCATCCATCCATCCATCCTCTTCTGTTGGTGGAATAATATTTTGTTTTTGTATATGCTCTTCATCTTTGTTAGTTTTTTAACAAGTTTGCATTTGTTTTTATTGCACTACAAAGTGCAGGATTTTGTTTTTCCTGTTGAAATGCATTTTGAAATACTTGACATAATTTTGAATATAATTATTTTGTATTATTTGTCATTTATACAGTTTGTCTTACTCTTGACAATACTTTCTTTATAGATGTATATCGCATCTTAAGGTCACCGCATGGTTCGAAAGATAGAAGACATTTTAAAGTTTGAAAGTTTGACCTTTTTTGACCTTGAAAAAGACAACAGAGGCCCAAACTAAATTTAGAATCCCCCCTTTTCCTTCCCTGTATGCTGAAAACATTATCAGCACAAACAACTGCAGTTTGAATATATAGCTCTATATAGCCTTGTTATCCCTTTGACCTTCAGAATAATCTACTGGCCTTGAGAGAGAGGTCAGAGGTCAAACATGACATAATATTTTAATCTCTATGCAAAACTTTCTACATGTTGCCAAGACATGCAACACACAAACACTACTAAAAATATAACCTCCGTCACAGAGTTAACAAAACAAAAAGTTTATAATAATCTTAGATCTAGAACAATGAAAATAAATAGTTACACCTAAGTCATCTAGTTATGACGTCAAAATCGTGAAAAAAAGGAAATAAGAGAAGGCACACAGTGCTTCTCATAGGCTTTGTTAGTACCTCAAGTGATTCAGAAAAGCGATAATGATGCAGTGAAGCTTGTTTTCAGGTCTTGATCAGAACGGCAGTGGATGCTAACAGTTCCAGGAACTCCCAGAGGTGGATCTTCCATTGCACTGCTGTGGGAATAGGTGTTGAGAGAAACTGCCTCTTTGGGACTGGGGACGCACAGTAACAGAAGAAAATCATGCAAACATAACTGGTGTTTTGTTTGCATGCACCTCAACATTATTATATGGTTTTAGAGTTGTAACAATCTATAATCTACTGAGACAAATGCAAAAATCACAGAGAAAGAAAGAGAAATAATCACTTTCAGTTCCAGAGGTGAAAACACACGAAATGTGCTCAAATATGGCTCAGAAATAATTTTGTCATCATTAAAGCTCAACATCTGCGAGAACTCAGATTATCCAATGCCATCAGATTATCCAATTCCATCACCATCCCTATTTCATTATGTTCTGAGGGCAGCAGAGGAAAAACAGAAACACAGTCTCCCCTGTTAGCCACCTTGTTTCTGCTGACTGAGACAAACATTAGAAGTCAGCTCAAATCTCACACAATTGCCTTATTTTCTCATCTATCCCTGCGACCAGTAACACTGTAAGATCAACAGGAGGAGTGCATTTCCCCAAGGTCAGGATTGAGTTTTTTTTTAATCTGTGTGATGGAAGTGACTATGGTAACAGGTCCCTTGAGAAGATCCTGTTGAGAGATGGCTGCATCACGCTGGCTCCCAGCCTGCTTGTTAGAACTGCCAAAGAGACACCTGCAAGCAAAGAGTTGTGTTATTAAAACAAACAGTTGACAGATTTAATCAATTTCTCTCATCAAAATCATCCTGACATCCAATTTTCTAGTTAGCAGTCGGTTTACTCTACATTGCCCATACCTTTTAAATCAACAGGCTTCCAAGGCGAACTGACCAGGATACCTTCCTCTGCCTTTAAGAGCTCTTGTCTCCACACCCAGTGATCATCTGTCAGACTGGTGTTAAAGAGCCATTACAAACACTGTCTTGACCTTTTTAAAAATAGAAACAGACATTAGAGACACTACTATTTTTTTTCAGAGTAGATTCTGTTCTGACACTTTGTAGTGTTACAGAATAATGGTACAAAATAAACAATACAGCCGCAAAATATAAAAACACACATTGTCAACAATAAATGCTTGAGCTTGTGCAGTAAGCTGCTTTACCTTGACTTCTGCTTTGTTCAAAATGGTTACAGTTCCCAGTGACATTAAAATTCAACTCTAACAACATGTGAAAACCTCCGTCAGTCGATATGTAGAAAGTTATTTTAAATTCAACGCAATTTTCAGCTAATGGATGGTAGAATAGGTAACAACTCTAAGGCACCGCTCTCAGTCCTGCTGCTCCATTAATGCCGCTGAGCTATGGAGGAATGGATGCTTTGACTGGGAAATAGGGTTTATCTTTCTAAAAGGGGCTCTTTTGATGACAGCTTGGTGCATACATGCTGCACTTCCTTCTCAATGTAGGAAGTTTGCTCCATTTTAATATACAAACCCATTCGGGCCTAAATGCCAGATAGCTCTGTGCTATGAAAGAGTATAAATAATGAAGACTGCAGTCTTTACAAGTTAAAAAAGACCCACAGTGCTATTACATAACAGTGGAATGAGTTATGAGGATAACAAATTAGCCAGAGTACAGTAACATCCTGGAGTAATCAGCTGAGGTACCCTAACACAAAATCAGATTTACGCTCATATTTGTCCTCTAAATGTAACCTCAGCTTTTTTCGCATCTATAAATGTCCTCTTGTTTCCCTTGGCAACTTCACCTCATCTGAACATCGCAGCTTCTTGGTTACTGCCAAGGTCCCCTCTTGCTTGTATCTTGGTTTAAGACTTGCAAAAATTCCTCATGTAACTTACAGGACAATCCTTCCCCTTTTAACACGAATCGCTCTCTCTTCTGCACCTCATCGAGTGTTTCTAATACA